CATTGCATATATGGCTGGCATACATATGCATAAAGCACACTGGCAACAGCCCGAACAATTTAATCCGGATCGTTTTTTGAAGGGAAACGATTCCATTGAAAAAAATAGTTTCATACCATTCGGTGGTGGCGTAAGGCTGTGTCCGGGCAGATTTGTGGCTATGGCTGTACTTAAGCTGTTAACAGTATCATTGTTTGGAAAGTATGAAGTTAAATTAATGTATCCAAATCAACCTGTAAAAACTGTTTTTAAAGTCGGAAATGCCGTCCAGGAAATGAAAGTCTATCTTACACCCAAAGTACTAGCTTAATTTATTATCGTTAATAATATTGTAACCTATACCAAAAGCGGTGACATTTTTATGTCCAATATATTTGTTTATTCAATAAATTTCAAAATTGTGTGTACCTTTATTATAAAGGATTACGCAAATGCTAACGTCGAGAGATCTTGCAAACACGTTTCAATCTGGTTTACTAAATTAAGTCATTAACAAGATACATGTAATTATCTTATGGGTTTACTTTATGTACATGTATTCGAGTTTTGTTTAGAGAAACCGAACGTAGCAGTAAATAAACTAGAGTCATCAACCGATACTCCCGGTTAAAAATTAACATTCGGTTGTAATTCGTTTCTATAGATTTACTGTTCACAACATAAATCGCGTGGAATCTTGGACGCCACCGCATAATTATACCGATATTTAATTCTAACGCTTGTGTCGTAAAGTCTGCATTTTTATTTTTGATTCTACAAGGTCAGGTTCATATTTGATTCATTTGTTGTATTGTACTTAAAATTTGCACAAGTTGAAATTAGAACTAAATAAGAGTGAGTTAATGCTAGAAGATAAGATTATAATTATTCTTGCATTAAATATACATGTAGATATAGTAATGCAAAAAATTTCTTCAAATGTTACCGATAATGTTTAAAATTCTAATAATTAACTCATCGTCATTAAATCTTACTCTATACAAACAATGCTGATAACTGTAAATTGAAATACTAAAAGCTATACAGCCAGTTTCGATTTAACCATAATATTAGTTTGCTAAAGCTGCTTTAATATTAATTCCTTCACGAACTTTAAAAATTAATTTGTATTCTGGTGGAAGATATTCGAAGTCATGACCATTTCCTGCATCAAGGTCAATCTTTATCGGTACATTCGTAAGTAGGTCTTTTTCCAATTCAAGGTCATACATCGCTAATGTATGACCTATAAATGTAAGCAAACTACGGTAAGCCAGGTTAATTCCTAAGCAAGACCGACGTCCGCGACCAAATGCCTGCAAAAAAAAAAGAAATATTAGATTGAGTTTTACTGAATAAACGTGAACAACAATCTAAAATTGATAATTACCCATGGATCAAGAATCTCGTCGTATTTCTTTAAACATCCGTCGTCATCCAAATATCGTTCAGGACGAAATTCATGTGGTTCGTCATAAAGTTCAGGGTTAGAGTTAATCGCATCAAAATTGAGTACAATTCCAGTATTCGCGGGAATATGGTATCCATTATAAGTTTCATCCCGAGAACTGCAATGTGGTAAAGTCATATATATAACTGTCCTGTTTTATTGAAATTTTTATTAAATATCTAAGCTTAAAATCCCTTTTAATATTTCATGAAAAAAAAACGAATTCTTACCTAAACCGTAAACTTTCCTTTATAGTAGCGTTCAAATAATGTAAATCTTTATCATGTTCCATATTATAAAATTTTCCTTTACCAACTACTCTATCTAACTCTTGTTGAATTTTACGTTGTGCCTTAGGATGATTTGCTAGAGTAGCGAAAAGCCAATATAAAGCACCACTTGTTGTAGAAGTTCCCCCAAGCACCAAATCACCACAAACAGTCAACACATCATAGTTATCAAAAATATATTTTCCATTTTCATCTTTTTCAAATTCGTGTGTATATGGAGAGGCGACGAATGACGGATCGATCGTAACCGATTTTAAAACTTCGGCGGAAACACATTTCTCTGAATCTGGCCCGTTTTCGATCATTCGATTCTTGATTTGTTGTAATAAGCCATTATAGAATTCATCTCTTTCTGCGACTAATTTTCGTGCTTCTCTTTCGAAAATTTTTTGAAGACCAAAATATCGTAGCCAGCCAAATACAGATAATAAACTGCCTTTGACATCGGTAAATTCCATAACTTTTTTTGTTAAATTAGAAGAATGTTCTAAAATAGAAGGATCATTTGCTAATTCACCAAATACAATTGTAGTTATTATTTTTGTCATACAAAGTCTAACACGATCTTTAGGATTTTGAGCAAGATTATCGTCTCCAGACTTCACATACATTTGTTGTAAAAAACTTTTCACATTATTAGATATTATTGGAAAGTATTCATTTTCGATCAATTGAAGACGAATTGCTTGCGACATGTGTAATTTTATTACTCTCCACCAACCGGTATTCTGTAAGGAACTTCAATAAGTCTCTTACGCTGGATAATTGGTCATTAAAAGAAATAGAAGTTACCGGACTTAGAGCCACGCTTTTGCCTCCATGAGAAATAATATTCAATAGGCCAAAGCTCTTTATTGTTAAAAAGGTTTATTACTAAGGCGTCATTTCATTCTTAACGAACAAATAGAATAGTATTAAATACCAGACGTGAAGAAAAATTAGCACCGCGTGTGACAAATAAATCTTTTGCTATCTTATGATCGTTAATAATAATCCAAGTAAGTTGACCCAAATGTACTTTAAACATCGGTCCGTAGGTTATAGACATTTTTTTGAAATTCTGATGCATAGATAGTCCAAGCTGATGTAAATTTCCGATAATCGGTAAAGGAGTCGGCCCTGGAACCTCAATAAAATTTCCTTTTGGCTTAGATTTCGATTTAATTCGCCAATATAGTATGAAAGATAATAACAAGATAGAAATTTTAATCATAAAATCCATCTTTAAAACTTTTCCAAAGAAAAAAAGAAAATCGCAAAACGACTTAACATCAACATCAAAGTTGAGGTTCATGCTTATATTTCGTTTCTTCCAAGTGCTCTCGCCCCAAGACAACACCCCAACAGAACCACAAATAGGTTACAGCATGTATAATTGACAAGTCAGATCGCAAGATATGAAAGCTTTTGTCAATTAAAGTTTCGGAATTAGGGGTAAAATTTAGATCATGAAAGTTTTTCGTTAGAACTAAAAGTTAATCTCACATAAACATACATGCTTAGATGTACATGTAAAGCATTTTAGTTAATGTAATATCACTGACAAATCTGTGTTATAGATGGGCGGGGTATTTAATGTATACGTATGTACATCTATAAATCACAAACTAGTCATTTTTCATAGAAAATGTTAACGATAATAATAGCGCTCTGTTCAAAAGATCCCCGGGGATTATTTTAGGCAGTGTCTAAAATCGATTTGCGGACGATTTTAGAATTCCCAACTAAAATCGTACATTCATATGCGAATTCCGTAAGTAAATTTTAGAATTTCACAGATTATACAAAACCAAATTATTGCGGGCTTGTTACTAATTAAAAGTTAAGATTTAAACACTGGCTTTAAGTATAAATACAATTTCTATATAGAATACCCGGGTCTAAATCCTGGGACACTAAAAAAGTGTCATTATATATTATGTCGCTATATAAAATGTAAATTTTTATATGATGTCGTGTCGTTAAAGTTAAAGTTAATACGATATTAGGTACATGTGTTCTGTAAAGATTTGCGTATTGTCATACACGTAGATGCAGTGCATTTAATGCAGTTTATGATCGGGCGCAAAGAGAAAATACATGTGCATGTGCATGTATTAAAATATTGTTCCTTTGTATCTAATTTAAGATTTAAATCTTTCCGTACCGTACTTCCAAATTACTGTACATTTAACATAAATAAGCTTTGCACATTCAGATCTTTCTAAACGCAAACTCCCTAAATACATGCACTTGTTTACCATTCATAGATGCATGCTTTGGTTTAGTCCTTCGTATCTGATTTTTCTGTCTTCCGACAACGTGCATTTAGGGAGATCCGACTCCCGATGTCTAGCCATCATTTTTACGGTTAGAATTATGCACATGTATGTAATCGGTTTTGTGTTGTGCATGTACATGTAATTTCTCTAACATTTAAAATTTAAAACTTAAACGGTTCCGAAATTAATGCAAAAGGACTGTTTAATTTCGGGTTACCTTTTTAGAGATTTTTACAAATACATTTACAAATGTACATCCTTTGTTTTGCCCCTGACGATCTGTCATACGATCCGGCGGCAGGATGTTCCGATGTTATATACATGCATATCTAAAATTATACATGTATTATCTTTCCATGTTTTCATTTAATATTAATAAATCTAACGCTAAATATATAGGAAGCTAAAAAAAAAAAAAAGAAGGAAATGGTTACTAACGGTCGCTCAGATACTAAAAACTCAATAACTACCAACTAAACCACTAAATGGAACTTACCTGACTCAGACGAATTCTTGTGATTTCGAAGTAGATACGCCATAATTAGGGTGAGTTATAAGATGATATTGACTGGGCTTTATTTGAAGGGTTTTTCTTGCTTTCTTTCGTTGGTGGGTGAATTGTCTTCATTTTCTTTCATTGATGAGTGACTGTTTTCTTTCATTGGTGGGTGAAGCACAATTTAATCTAGCCCTTTGTTATTAAAATGGAGAAGGAACGCTCAAAGATGAAGAAAAAGCCATTTGAATGGTGTGAATGTCTCATTGGTGAGTGAATTATATTTGTTTTTTCGTTAGTGGGTGGGAATTATGTGTTTTCTTAATAGGTATTAGTGGGAATTATATTTTTTTTTATTATTATTATTAGCGCGTTCTTATTTTCACTACTTATTTCATTTGATTACTCACATTTACTCATCATATTGCCAGCGAGTTACTACAAGTTGCATTGCTGAATTGTGAATGATCAAACACAAGATCATTCATGAGATAATACAACAATAAAATGAAAACGAAAAGGAATTAATTTGACCAAAAATAATCTTGGTTAGCATTTTCTCCAGTTGTAAATCTTTCGTTTTCTTCTTGCATTCTTGCTCGTTCTTGTTTGTTGTCTTATATGCGAGCATATTTGAAAAATCTCTCTTTGATCTTGGACATTTGGCAAGAACTCCACTTACTAATAGGAATGTAAAATATAAACAGAGAAGTCAACAAAAATATTTTTATTATATCCGAATACATCACAACAATTTAACCATTTCTTTATAACAAAGATAATTAAGTATAGACTGTATATTGTTTTATTATTAATATTGAGTTCTGTCAAATATCGTTTGACTATCATTCTTGGCAGAGTTGTTCGGTTTTCTTTCTTTTCACACTTTATTAACATCCTATTCATACCCTTCATGGCATTCTCTGCTGCCAACAGAAACTGCGTATCTTTATACTTTTCTTGGCTCTCCAATAGATTTGTCCATTGTTGTATCAATTGTTTAACTCAATGATTTACCTTCTCCCATTGCTCACTATTTTCATCATCACTATCCTCATAAATTATCTCTTGCTCATCAATACTTTCGATATCTTGAATTATTTCTACAAAATCTTTATCCATTTCACCATCAGATTCTTCCTCGATATTTTCTTGCTCATCAGAATCTTCTTCCACTTCCAATTCTTGAACCATTAGAATTGTTTTGGGATGAATCCAAAATGGTGGAAATCGTTGTCACCTGACCTGAACAAAAAAGATTGATTTGACTAGCTAGTTGTACAGACTAAACAGGATACTTGCATAAAAGAAATCGGTTTTCAAGATAAGCAGGACATGAGCAGGTCTATTTGATTGGATCAGTTGCATAAGTAGTAGTATTATTACATGATTTATTGGTATATTCTTTCCAAAGTCTGATTTCCAAGAAGCTAACGTATTCGTTGAGTTAAAGTAATTAATTATTGATATTTGTTATAATATTGTGGAAGAAGATGGTCAATAATAACCAAAACAAGATGATCGAGACGAGATTTATTAAACTTATAGAGATAATCTTATTTAATGATTCTCAACCATCATTGTTATTTTAGAACTGAAATATCCTTCTTCATACTTTGCGTCCAGTTTAGCCATTTAAAAGAATTATACCATTCAGTCTACAAGTATGCCCATACCCATTGAAGATCATACATTCTACAATAGTTATATATTTCCTTAATAGCTACTTCACGAATTTGACTTTCGAAATAATAACTTTTATCGATCATAAGAATAAATGGATGTTGATGCATATGCTTTATCATAAGTTCAAGAATATTTTCACGATATTGCAAAGGACAAAAGGTAAAGTTATTAATTTTTTTACTTACTGTTATTGATTAGATAATTGTTTAATTTCTTTTTCATTTTGTGTCAAATAGAATTCAAGTTGTGTATCAGTTAAGACTTGCGTTTATAATAATATATTAGAATAAATTAAGTTCTATGAAAGCAAATTCTGATTTTGCATCTATTGCAATATAACGCGTTTAATTTTGATTTTTTTGTTGATGCTAATTATTTTCGAACTGCTTTTTTTATGTACCAATAACAAAGTTGAATATATATTATTGGCCATACTGTTTTTACTATCTGAATCTGAACCTGAATCTTTATCAGTGAGTACGAATTTCGGCTTAATTTCTTTATCATGCAAATTTTGCAAAAATTGTATCAATAATAATAATAGTTGTTGTAAGTAACAAGTAGGCAAGAGGAAATTCCATCTCATCCCAGAACAGCATAAAGTTCAAGATTTAATTTATTTGTATTATCTAAAAATAATAAAATTAATTTTAACTAATATTTAAAATAATTTAATTAATTAATTATTAATTTTATTTTGCATGTTGCATTTAAAGCAATCTTAATAGCTTTAATTCTAATTGAATTGATTAATTCTCTTATACCAAAGGCAAGTGCAATAATATCATTATTTTTTGAACAAAGTAACATTTCTATATTATTATTTTTTTTACAAGTTTAATAGCTAATTCAATTTGATCTTCTTTCATTTTCTATGCATTTGCGCTAAATTCCATCCACCAGTAATATAATTGTTTTTGAATAATGTTACCTATTTTTGCGCCAAGTTTATTTCATAAAAGTCATGGTATTTGAAAAAGATTGTTTTGTA